AGGTTTGCAGTATGTTATATATCCGCCCACTCAAAGCACCCGAGGTCTTAGTCAATATCGACTCATAGAGCCCAACAACACAATGGTTGGATAGGCAATTCAATTCATTCTCACTTCTCTTATCATCCTATAAAATTGTCAAGAGTTACACCATCTCGGAACCCTTTGGCCACAGAGATTATTTAATGACCTAATAAGACGGGGTTGCTGGAGTACATCCATCTTGCAACATAATTTCGAAACTATAGCATCTGGATGTTTGAGACATAGGAAAATATCAAATGAAATTGTCAATATGTGCCTGCTAGGGAGGTCTCTCCATGAATTTAATTTATATATATCACATATGGGACAATAGGACCGGTATGGAAAGGCTCGTCTCACGGCACAAACTTAGCAGTCGGACTGATTAAAAAAATTAGATTGCCGTAGGTCCAAGGTTCTCTTTTGTTCTTATATATTGACAATTCAAGGGTCTAGGTGTAAGCATAGCCAAAAGGTCTTGACTTTCTTAGCCTTTCTTAAAGTTCAACTACGCGTTTTTGAAGCTTCTAAGCTCACATCAAACCTCAAACACACTTTCAAAAATGGGGTAACGGGCACAACGCACACTCACACTAGAATGTCAATGATCTAATAATATATTAATTGGCAGCTTCATGATTAAATCTGTTGTCATATATATGAAAATTGGATGATTTCGTTTGGTGGTATTTGCTGGCAAGAAGTGAGAGGTCACAGGCCAAGCAAGTCTTAGTTTGTGCGTGAAGCTGAAGTTATTAGGGCATCAATGCACATGGTGGGCCTCTTTGTGATTTATGAGATAGCAAGCTTTTGGCTTTTTAAAAAGAGGTTTAAGACAAGATGGAAGCTGGCAATTTCCCCTTTTTATAAGTTCACATTGGGTTCAATGACGCGAATTGAATTGAAAAATTCGCGCAAATCATTGGATGAGCTATCAACGATGGTACTTAGGTACATGGAAAGATTTAGTTGAGCTAGATTGTCATCTGATTAAGTGTAACCATAATAGACTCAACCAATCATTATGTGATTGGCAAGGTATACTTAGACCCATATAATGAAACCCTAGAAAGGATGACTTGTGCCTTAACATTGTCCACCCTTAAGTGGAATCGAATCGAACAAAACTTATTTAAGAATTGTGGACTTTTCATATGGTATAATGTTGTAAGCTTTCGAAATTCAAGTGGGTATTATTAACATGTGCTTTCGGAACTATGGTTGAGTAGTCAAGTACCGAGACTAGAAAGGTTACAATGTTCAAAGAGCTGACTTTTCTTTTTCCGGTAGAAATTAGCATTTCACTAAACGAAAATAAAAGAGATTACATAAAGCAAACAGGGGGTGTATCACCCCGGAGAATCATTGCCCAAAGTAGCGCCCACAGAATTACTAATGTCTAAAGGTTCATTGTCTTTAACCAAAAGACCCCTTACACAATTAGTGGGGGAATAGAAAAGAAAATGAAATCTTCATGCACTTCCTTTCCCACCCTAGTATGAGCATCTGCGCAGCTATTACACTCCCGATTTGCCGGAGAGCGAATTCCCGTGTATGAGTATAGGTATAGGTAGATTCCGCAGCCCATTTCTGGGTTCGATTTTGCTCGGGGCCACTCTTACAATTCACAAAGACGGTATCCATCTTGTCGCCGATCTATCTAGATACTACTCGGCGAGTACAATGCAGTGAATCGGAGAGGGCAATGGCAGGTGGCCGGTTCGAGGAGCAGAGGTGGGTCCATGAGCTATTTTGTCTCAAACTAATTTTGAACCATCCCCATCAAGGTTATTTTTTGATATTGCGCTAAGAAATGCCGCACTTAACCTGTTTTCAGCTACGATAACAGCACGAGCCATCATTAAGTATACTTAACAAACGTGCTCGCACACATGAGCCCATAGATATTACAAGATATGGGAGTTAGTTCATCAATTTCAGAACCATCACTAAATGCCACAGATTCTAAGGAGGTTTCCCCTCTGAAATTTGCATCAAATCTCTTCTGCAAAAATAGAAAAAAAATTGCTCTGTTAGTCTATCTAGTGACGTGAACAAGTCATTCTCCATGCATTTATTTTCAGCGAAGACTGGTTCCAAGTTTTCCGCATGAAAGTTTCGCAATTATCGTTCGTTTCGGCAAACGAGGTGGAATGCAGTTACAACGACATCGACACTTGTCGGAAGGCAACGGTCGACAACTGCTGTGTGTCATAAATAGGAGCTAGTATGTCGCTAGAAACCACTTATGACGTCATATCAAACAAATGGTTATTTCAATTTTTATTCACCTTGGATGCTAAAAACAAGATTAAATTATTACCCCTGTTGTCACATTGTCTGCCCCATTTATAGTCCCTTGCATTCCCTTCCCCAAGCTTGCCTATAAGCGTGGGAACATCGCCAATTCCCCAAAATGAATCCACGAACCTAAAAAGGATACCCTTTTAATTTTCTCGGAACTTTCACAGTCCCATTTTTTACTAACACGAATATTCTTAATTACGAGTGACAATAACACAAATGGTCCATGAATTTATTATGCTCTCTAAACTTTTAATTTTTTCAATGTATTCACCGAACTTTAACTTAATGATCAATAAGATCCCTGAACTTTTATTTTATTTAATGCAGTCCCTAGATTTTTGGTACGTGTCTAATGTAGTCCATAAACTAGTCCTTCTATTAATTCAAGTTTATGGACTATATTGAACATTTTCTTATACTTCATGGACTAAATTGAACATATGCCAAAAGTTTAGGAATAACATTAAACAAATTAAAAGTTTATGGACCACATTACTTATCAGATTAGAGTTCGGGGACCACATTAAATAAATTAAATATTCAAGTATAATATTGCACATTGGGTCAAAGTTTAGTGACTATTTGTGTCATTTTTCCTTATTATGATTAAGCATTGGTAAGTGTACTAGAAAACTTATACCTATTCTTGTCACGCATGATAAGAAACTTAGACATGCGATATGTAACGAGTATCTTGAGAGTGCCAGATTGGCGCGTTTTTCTTGCGCCGATACCGAACTTAGTTGGCATGCAGAGACAATAATAGACTGATAAAAGGAATGGCTAGGACTTTGGGCTGTAGGTTGTCTAGTTAGCGTGTTGAGAATTTGAGGAAATGGGACATGCCTGTCTGTAAGTGAATCCGAAGGCATATATTTCTCTCGGAATCCTAATCTAAGCTTCGTATTCTTGGTGTCTGCTGAATATTGCTAGGTGAGCTGTGACCGATTGGATGGATTCCAGTTGTTGTTCTCATTGCTTTTGTTCTCCTGTTCCCGCGAATGATGGCCAGTTTACTTGACGTTTTCAATGGAATTTGCTTGATTTGAAACCGTTTTGCTGTCCAACTGGTGTTAGTCCCCACATTCGTGACACACATGCCATGTTTGAACTGAAATTGGACCGTGGTTCCCAACCCAAAAGAGGAGACAGAGAGAGACGTATCCTGGATAAAGTCACCTGCCATGTTTGATGTGAATCCAATAAGGCAAATGCATCCCTAGTTTTATTGATAATTACATGGGCATGAAGTTTGTAGAATTAGGGAGATTAGCTCAAAGACAAAGCCAAACCGCCATCCTTATCCGAAATGATTTCTTTTTCACCAAGAATTTTGGGTATTCACAAATACCTAATTTTAGATGTTTTATGATGCGGAGAATCTGTCAGCTTGCCCTATCCCAGTAAACATAACTATATTTATGAATAGTGTGTATTAAATGAAAAGTAGGACGTATATAGTTTTAGAATTATCCACACACAATCTATCCCTTAATGGATTTCTTATTATCTACAGAACTATGATATGATCTGGTAAGTCGATTACATTTCAATAATAAGTCACCGTGCATCATAACAAGTAAGAAAAATTGTTTCGGAATTATCGAAATTTTGTTGATTTTCATTCTACCTCACTAGTTTTTCCCTTGAACGAATACGGTACGTTCTAGGTAATCACCGAAGTACGGATATCCACGCTAACCAAACGTGCATGACCTGTATACCTAACGAAAGATAATACTCTGTGAATTCCACACAGCTACGTTTTCCGCGTGTAGAAGGTAAAGAAGTTCCCACTGTCTCTCGCAAAGATGATTCTTTCCTTCTCCGCAAACTGAATATTCCTCCAGAAAGGTTGAAAACACCGCAACGAGCACGTCAAACGCAGTCAAAAAGCAAGATTTTTATCATGGGTCGGTACGAAAAGGAACAGGAAAATCGTGCAGAAACTCCAAACTTTTGCAGACACCACCACCACCCTGCCCAATTTACAGATAGAAACCACGAACGATATGCATATGGAGTACAGCCAAGAACCACACATACATTTGCAACTGGTCTGGCTAGAGCCTACTTCCGCAAGTGGCCCTTCTTAGGGGCCTTCAAGCCTGTTGGGTTTTCATCAAGAACATTTTTTTTTCAAGTTTTTTTTCATTTATGAAGTGTTTAAGTCAAGGGAATTCGGTGAGTATGTAATTTGAGAACTTGTACTTTTTTATGTTGAACGTCATAATAATGCGAAACCCAGTTATTTCTAGGTTCGGCTTGGTTCAACAGATAGATGTAGATTTTAACGATCTATCTCTTCGGAGACGTGCGTTTGGTATGCTCGTGTTACCTTCCGTTTGTCGCCGTACCACTTTTGAGTTGTTACCATGGACTTTTTTGTATACATTTTCATGGCAACTACGTTAGTGCTGACTAAGTGACTATCTAGAGAAATTGAAAGGAAATGTCATTTGCAGCCCACAAAAGAAAAATGTAGAAAAGCACAATAAAATACAATGAAAATGAAACGAACGAACCACGCACCCTATTCAAAAAGTCTGCGCTCTCCTTTTCGTATATGCGTGTCTTGGAAAAGTCTCTTCTTCCTTATTTTCTCCAACAATTTTTCTTACTTTTCTCTTTCATATTTTTCTTTCATTTACGTCCCTCTCATTCTGGAATGCCAACCCTTCTTTATTCTTTCTCTCTTACACATTCAAGCTCATCCTTATATATATATAATCTCCACCAAAACCCCTTGGGAAGAATAAGCTCTCCATCTCCATATCAGAAGAAACCGAAACCACCAAAACCCCACAAAGAACATAGCGCACCAAGTTATGTCCACCCACTCCTCACCCTTCCCCTCTTGCTTCCGGCCCCCCTCCGCCGACAACCTCCGCGCCGAGGCGGCGGCGGCGGCGCCCCCGCCGCTCCCCCCGCCGCCCCCGCGGCCGCCGGGGGGGAACGACAACGCGAACCTCACCACCTGCCTCTACCACACCCGCCTCGGCCTCTTCTCCCTGACCTGGTCCAAGACCCTCTTCGGCCGCTCCCTCCACCTCAGCCTCCATTCCCACCACGGCTCCAGTTTCTTGGACTACAATTCGTCGCCTCTCTCGCCTTCGTCCTCGACATTCTCGTTTCAGCTCCATATCAAGCCCTTGGTGTTTTGGAAGAAGCACGGCTCCAGGAAGCTCGATGCCGACAAGACCGGGACGAGCTCGAGCATCCGGATCTTTTGGGACCTCGCGAGGGCCAAGTTCGGGTCCGGGCCAGAGCCCGCATCCGGGTTCTACATCGCGGTGGTCGTCAACGGCGAAATGGCGCTCCTCGTGGGCGACGCGGAGAAGTCGGCTTACAACAAGACTAAGGCCCGGAAGCCCGCGGAGAGAGGCCAAGTCTTGTTCTTGAGGAGAGAGCACTTGTTCGGCCACCGGGTCTACGCGACGAGCGCGAGGTTCGGCGGCAAGAACCGGGCGATCTCGATAGACTGCAACGTGCACGGCGACGGGAAGCTGTACATCAACGTGGATAAAAGAAGGGTTCTGCAAGTAAAGAGGTTGAAGTGGAAATTCAGAGGGAACGAGCGGGTTGAAGTCGATGGGGTCAATTTCCAAGTCTCCTGGGACGTGTACAATTGGCTCTTTGAGGACGCTAGCGATTCTCATGCAGTGTTCATGTTCAGGTTCGAGAAGCAATTCAGCAATAATGAGGAGATAGGAGGAGGTGGCGATGACGGTGTTAATGCGGTGAGCAACCTCTTGCTGTGGTCGCAACCTTCGTGCAGCTTCGGGATGAACGAGATCGAGCTGAGGAAGATGAGAAAGAGCAAGTTGCGGAGCGCGAGGAGCTCCTCCTCCTCCTCGATATCGTCTTCGGCGTCCTCCGGCGGGAGCTCCTCGGTCATGGAGTGGGCGAGCACGGAGGAGAACGAGCTGAGCGGCCCGTTCGTCGGGTTCTCGTTGCTCGTTTACGCTTGGAAGAGATGATGCAGATCCAATTCGATTCCATTCCATTAGCGAGAGCAATTTAATCCCTCTCTTTCGCGTGAATTCGGTAAACATCGAAATTTCTCATGAGCGCAAGCTAAGCTTGCTCTATTTCATTGTGGAACACCAAGTAAGATTTCATTACATATAGGAAGATAGGCATGTAAATTCATAGGTATTCCATTGAAGAACTGAGATTGAAGTCATTTTTTTTTCCCGGGTTCGCACCCGAGAAATTTCTTCGTCCTTCTCCACGACAAATCATACACGGTTCGCGTTATTGTTCACAAAGATAAAGATTTAGGATCGTATCGAGTGTATTATACAATGTATTGTCCACTCTTCAAACGATGCTGGGTCTAGTGAAAACGTGAGTTGTCTCTTCGTTTGATATCGATGTGTGATGAGGAAAAAGGCAGAGATCCTTTTCATTTCTCCGACCAGAATATAGGACACGATGCATGTGATCGTGGGTTCCCTGTTTTTTTGTAGCGTAGCTTTAGGGGTTGGGTTGTCTCGGCTCGGCTGGCATTGATTTGGCGATAGGACAGCAAGCAGACAGCACCTCTTTCCTCCTCTGTCTCTCTTTCCTTCGTCGTCCCAACGTCCGGTCGAGGTCGAAACCGATCTCGACCGTCGAATAGGACGACGGCGTCTCGGGATCCGTGCCAGTTGCGGGTACGTTGAAAAGCTCGGACGGGGCGGTACCTGATCGAAAACGGCATCGGAAGGGGCTCGGAAACCGCGAGAGAGGTGCGTCGGGTTTGGGTAAAAGGGTTTGAAAAGTTGACCGTTTGACCGCGTGGCTCTGTCATTCTTCGGCCTCTCCGAAGACCACCAGACCGGACCAGTCAGTCTCGTGAACCAAAAGCAAAACCAGAAATACATAAATAAATCTGCTTTTTCTTGAGTGAAATCAAAGATTTTTTCTTAGGTTGACGCTTTATTATTTTCTTGGATTGCAAGACATAGGAGATGCTTCATTGTTCCTGCTGCGAGTTGAGGTGAAACCGAGGATCTTTTCCTCGGTTCAATCCATCGAATGAGTGAATAAAAGGGCCATTGGAGTCTCTTTCATTAGGACGTTTAGGTGAATTATGAATGCTTTTGAGAAATTAATGTTGCATAAGCTTTGCACTTCAACAATTCACTCTTTTGTTTCTTCCTTCTTCTTTTTCCCCACTTTTCCTTCTTTAGTTGAGGCAAAAAGTGGCTAAATCCCTCCGAATAGGCGCAGTTGATTGGGGCATCGAGGGATTTCCAGGTCTTGTCGTCTATTCGAATATCACAAATTGCATCCAAATTGTTTTGGATCAAGGCTATTTATAGAGGGCCTATTCGAATATCACAAATTGCGTCCAAATTGTTTTGGGTCAGGGCTATCTACGGAGGCCAAAAGTTTGGATTACCGATTTATAGGGTTTGCATGGTGTTTTATAGATCTTCAAATAATCAATTCTCCTTACTTGTGTCCCTAGTTTATTAAGAAAAACGACTATAGTAACCGCTCCTATCACCACGACAATTGATGAAGTCTATATACTATGATCGACATATGTTGCTCGCACAAATAAGACACAACACTCCCTTTGGTTGTATATAAAAAAAATATTAATATGAATACACGATATAATTTATCTTATATATCTGAATCTTCAACTCGGCTGATTTTTACGAATATACGCAAATTGTTCCGTCCACGTTACACCGGTGCAGGGCTCCACACCTGCAAGCTCTCCTCGACCACGCATCTTGTCAAAGTGCATCCTGCGTCGAGTTCTTCCAGTTCACGACCCACTAATTTCCAACTACCTCGTGAACAAAGTTGGTGTTCCAAAACCTGTCCGAGATGCAAAAAAATATATGATGCAATGTGATTACCAATTAGTGCAAATCATGGGGTTGCTTTGTCCTCTTTCTCTGCATATGATTCTTGCCCCATGATAGGATGTCACGTCAAGGTCACTAAAGAAATCGCATGGTTGTTCACTTTCCCTGGAAGAACTTACGTTAGAAAAGCAAAGCCACTTTGGAAAATCAAGATGTGGGGTGGGGGGAACCTTTCTGTTTTCCTTTCATTGACTCTATGGGGTCTGGTGTTGGTTGGAATCCAACCTGTAATCTAAATCTCTCTAGGGTTTCTCATATCTTATTCCATTGAGCGAATAATTTTTTTTAATTGACCCCAACAACCTAATGTCATAAAATAGTTAAGTTTTGTGCTTCCCCAAGTAAGTTTTAAGTATCCAAAGATGTTACCAACTATGTTTTAATGGTTGGGTTGAAACCAATTTGGAGACATGATTAGAATATCCCATGCCACACAGTCTTGTCCTTTACTCAATTACCTCAACAAACCACTGTCTGAAAGGACCCCGCATGTCCTTAACTATGGGCTGAATTTTAGAACATTTAAGAGTAGTTGGAACTAATTGTATCATTAAAGATCAAGGTCCAACCACAATTCATGGACAAAACAAAATGAAGCCTCAAGCAACATAAGTACCTCCTTCTAGATCTATTGATGCAGTTCTCATTTTCACGAAGAAATTGTCCAATCAGTCATAAGCCTACTGTGCGGTTGTCATTTCAGTCATAAACATTTTAATTTTGCCAATTTAGTCCTAAACTTTTGTGCAAAATTCAAATTTAGTCACTTCGGTCGATTTTCGTCGGAAATCGCTGATATAACGGTGTGCCACGCAGGATGGTTGTCAATGATTGGACCGTCACGCCAGCGATTTCCAGTGAAAATTGACTGGAATGACTACATTTGAATTTTGCGTAAATACTTACGATCAAATCGGCAAAACTAAAAAGTTTATATTAAATTAATATTGAGTATATTAGGTTTAGGACTGGTTGAGTAATTTTCTCGGAACTTTTGAGTTGTTGAAACTAATTTTATCATTAAAAATCAAGGTCCAACCACAACTCATTGACAAAACAAAATGAAGCCACCAGCAACATGAGTACCTCCTCGTAGATCCTGCTGATGCACTCCTCATTTTCCATGAAGCAGCCGTTCACATGGTTGAAAAGTCAAGGACTATGTGCTCTGCAAAGTCTGTGTGTACAGATTGAATCAGTCAAAATAAGACGACTTTTGCTCGCTCGAACATTTCCAAGGTGTCAAATTTCCAGGATCTTACTGCCGAGCTTCTTCAACAATTTGAACTAATGGCCAGAACCCTTTTGTTCAATCACATTGTGATTGTGACTTGTAAGTTTCCGGTGATCTTCTGGGTACTGCGCTTTCCAGGATTTGAAAGGGTGAAAAGTATGACCAGAATGATGGTCGTCGGTTTAGATTCTTGCCTCTCTGACCATGAGTTCATCGTCGAGCCAGCCACAAAAAAAATCAAGTTTGGCGGCCATAGATTCGCAGCAGAAAACATTCAGTAATCAAAGAACTGCGTCGTGGCCTTACTGAATTCATAATCGACGTTAACTCGTGCGAATGCTAAGTACTGAGTAATCCTAGAGATATTAAAGTTCGTTACAAGTACTCATTTGTCAGAACGCGGCGACATCAGGCTAGATATCAAGCCAAATGACCACCTTTGTACGCACGAACATATGGTACATGAATAACCCACCTGAATTTTCATCTCTGCTCTGCAAACAAGCATCAAACTTAGCATATCTTGTGCTCGGGATATATATTATCTTGATTTTTGTGATCTGTACTTTTCAATTTTCATATTGCTAGGCATCATAAAGAGGGGTGTAATTGCTAAATTTAGGGGACAAAGTCAATGCACGGTACGAAAAGATGAGCTAACATATAAACTTCTGATTAAAGTTTTGTGCCCGACATAAAGAATAAAGTTCAGGAATATCATGAGCTTTCATTACAATCAGGTTCTCTGTCTGAATACTTCCAAAACGGTGATATGAGCAAGTCTCCAACCACCATTATTAGGGCCAATAAGCAACTCCACGAGCAGAAACACAACCTAAAGAAAGAGATTCAACTGAACAAAATAAAAACATAAAAACTAAAAGAGCTCCTATTGACAGCCAATCTGATGACAAGTATCCAGTGCTTGATGTGAAAGCTTTTGGATTGCTAAACTAGACTTTAGAGGGGAATGGATTCGCCAGAAGAATGAGGCACATCAATTAGTGTTATATAGCGGTCTCATTCTTTCATATTCATTATCTCACAGTACATCAACTTTTAGCCTGGACAATGGAAGTGCTTGAGAACATTTGGGCCCTCTAATCATCTTATGAATGTCTCCGACTGCATACCTCAATTACTCTGAATGCCACATTCTGCTGATCCTCAGAACCCATCATGTTCACGACAAAACATCCAAGCCGAGATTCATAGGAGCAAAGTTTCGCATAATGATTAATGTACAGGAAAAGGAAAAGGAAGAACATCATTCCTCACCGACGAAACATTCGATCACTTGTCAATCAAATGAGCTGATAAAAGGAAAACATTTTACACTGGAAAATATGCCTTAGCCGTCATAGAACCGGCTTGTCCACAACCCTAAAGCACGAATCAGCAGGTACAACAGGATAAAGGGAGACAGGGAAGAACTTCATTAGAAATTTTTTTGCGATCTTCCCTTTTCCCTTTTGCGATGATGATTCTAAGGCCCTAGATTATGAACGCTTCTCTTATTGAAGATTTAATGTTAGATTTGCAGGCGAAGAAGTAGAATGGATCAAAGAAGAATTTGGAGGAAGACAGTGTCTCTGCCTACTGTTTTTGCTTGCAGAACGCAGATGGCGAGATGATGGCATATCAGTTGAACGATTCGAAGACGGGAACCTGCTCGATTGGCTTCTCAGTTTCTTCTTCTCTCCTTCAAGGATCACTTGGTCCTCCGATCTGACTTGCCGAACCTTTGTCTCGTTTAATCCAGCAGGAAGCACGCAATTGCAGAAGAAACCTAATCGTTCAAATAAACCAAAGCACAGTTATGTTTTTGATTGTGTCATACTACGGTAAAATCAAGCAAAGATAAAGACATCTCGATCCCTATTCAATGAGATCAGACAAAATTTTTCCAATATCCTCTATCTCTATCCCTGTCTAAACAAAACATGGTCTCAGAACATACATGGAGTCACTTGGCATCCATCAGCCATGACAACATGGCATAGAGATCAGCCTCATTGGTTCAACACCATGCAAATCAGATACTTAGACAATGCATTTGACATGACAAAGAAAACAAGAAACATCTTGTCTCTTGAAATCGTATTGGCTGATGTGTAGAAGGAGTTCCAAGATGGGGATCCTCAACATGTTCGGATCCCTTAGTCAGTAAACGGAGACAGCATCATTTCTATTGGTATTTCAGTGTCAAAGATGAAGCATTTACCAGGAGCACTTTCAGATAATCTGTTCACCCGCAATATTTCATATTCTCTCTCCATTTAGCTATAAAATAAAGAACCAAATATAGCTTGATTGTGCATGGTAGATGTGGTAATTAAGATAATTCATACATCAAAGATGGGAATTCCATAGGCTAAGTCAGGCACTCCATAACAGTCACCATGCAAAGGAAGCATGTGACAAAGATGGCGAAGTTACTGAATGGTAAAGACTCGACTAAAAGAGGGTATACTAGCTAAGTGACAGCAAGGCTGTACTTCCTAGTTTTCAACAAGAAGTTAATGATACTCATTCCGATGCCTTTAAGGCCGATGATTTGAATGAAAAGTTGTGAAATCGGCAAAATAAAGCTTAGGCAGCTAGTGGATCTGTAAATACAGTAATTGCTATGGATATCCTATTGTCCCATATATCGACAAGTAAACTCGTGGCACTTCAGAAATCAGGGGAATATGAAAAAAGTGTTAGGGATTGGATGCTTGCAAGGTTGCCAGTTCCATATGGTGGCAAAAGGATTTCAGTAAACTGCATTGCAGTCTAAGATCTCAGTACCATATGTTTTCCAATGTGTAAGTAAGTGAGTTATAAGATATCACGAGTAAAATATTATCATTTTATAGTGGATACAAGGGAACTAGAACTATGGCTGGCAGGACAGACAATGAAATGACATTAATAGCCGTATCATATCTTACCAAGTCGAGCCAATCGATTGACCCAACGAGGGATCGGTTTCCCTGTCAATCTAATGCACACGTCGTTGCAGAAGTGATTGCAATTCTTCGTAATGAGATGGTACGTGTTTCCAGAGTACTCTTCAGCTAGTTTCTCCATAAATGAGCGGACTTCTCTCGGGCCTAAGTCTGTTCTTCCAATCAAAATTGATTTTCTGAAGGTGAAACCAGGACAGCGCTTTGGTTCAACTTCAAAAATCCCTGTTGTTGCATGTTCATGTGCTCCAAAACCATATTCAACGCCGTGTACTGCAAATGGAACACAACAGACGAGAATTCTTTACTGTAAACAGTGGAACTTCATAGACATTCAAGTACACTTAAACACAGAAAGTTAGAAGCAGTATACTATGCAATCCTCCATGAAGAAAGGAAAAGAAAATTGAAATAAGCTAATCAGAGTATTGATTGACTCTAACTTCAAACAGTACGAACCAATTTCTCCCTCTCAACTAATCCAACCTAACGAAGCTTGACATTGTACTAGTCCTTAAACTCTCCAGTCAAGAGTATCAGAAAGTCCGAGAAACCAAAGACCAAGTCTGCTAAATTAGGTCAGGGTCAATGGTAACAGCAGCAACTGCTTCAGTAAATTCAACCACTTCACACTGCGTTTCCTTCCAGTTTCCAGGGTAACCGAGCAGAGCAATTTCAGGTCCTCGTCTTCAACTTCTGTCATCGGTCAATCACAATGCAACTCCAGCCCACGATTCAACAAGGTATGCAAATGCAAGTCCAGTCTACGATTCAACAGGGAATGCGAAAATGTACTAACAAAATACAACGATACACATCTGAACATAACGCAACTCCAGCCTATGATTCAACAGGGTATGCAAAAATGCACTAATAAAAAATCATCGTAAGTAAACATGTCTTCAATTACACTTAGCTAGCTGCTCAAAAAGAAGACGAACAATTTCGCCAATCTCTAGCTACCACGATTTGCCTTCGCCTCTCCCACCACGCCTCAGATCATGAAAAGCACCGACAAGAACCAGTCGCTGCTAAAGCCAAAGCATTTCTTCTTTTTTTCAGCTAACACGAATCTGCCAAAACTCAATACCCCACAAATTTCCCGCAAGAACCCAATTTCACCCTTCAAGCTCACTTTCCCGTCGATATCCCCAACCAACCAAACACCCAACACAGAACGAGAACCGAATCCCAAACAAAGCTCAAACCTTTTACCTTGCACACCGGAGTGATACACCCCAAGCCCAAGCCAGTAGGCATACCCGTTCATCGGGGTCAAATCGTACACGTTCAAGTAAACCGGGACCGACCCGCTCTTCTTCTTCCGGGTCACCGTCACCATCTTACACAGCATGGCTGCAAAACCTCCCCCAGAGACGACCCACCAGGCACAGCAAACAAGCGACTGACAGGGAGAAGCGAAGGGGGCCAAAGGAGTGTGATGGCAAGAAAGGTGGGATCCAAAGGAGTGATTGCGCGTGGAGGTGGGGCGGGCGGAAAGCTTTTATTATATTGCGGGGACAGTAACGACGGCAATGATGACCGGGATCGGGGAGCGGCGGAGAGAAGAATTCGATGGCGGGTGTGCCGAGACAAGGAGAGAGACGGGTAAAGTTTCGATTTTTATTGGGGGGAGGGACAACCTTCCGGGGGAGGTGGGGCGTTTATAGTTTCCATCGGCGGCCGAAAGCGGTCTGCCATGGGATTCACCTCGTCCTCGGGCATCTTCCTTCCCCACTTACCTTTTTCTTTTTTTTTTATCATGATAACGACGCAAACAGTCCTCGATTTTGACCCGGCGTGCAATTTGATCATTGAACTTTTAATTTATTTAATATGATTTTTGAACTTTAGTTCAATATTCAAACATTTTCATATAGTTCAGGGATTGAATTGAACATGTACCAACAGTTCAGGGATGACATTGAACAGGTTAAAAGTTCATGGATCACATTGAACAATGGACCAAAGTTCAGGGACCACATTGAATAAATTAAAAGTTCAGGGATCAAATTATATATTGAGCCAAAATTTAGAGACTGTTTGTGTCATTTTCTCTTTTTTACCCTTTTGGAGGAATATGAGTTCATCTTTGCCGGAGAGTTTTTGCCATTCTTGGTTGCGACCGCGGTTAAATTAGGGAGGAAATTCCAAAGTGAGTTATGGTTTTCTGCTCTTCTTTTTTTTTTTTTTTTTTCTGTTGCGGGTGGACAATATATAGGTGTGTGCTAAAAAAGGCTAGGAGATTTTCCGGTTCGAGTTTGAGGGTTTTTTTTTTCTTTCGAAAAAATAAATTCGAAGGGGTTTAGGCGTCGGGTATGTACGTCGATAGGGAAAAAGAGGATATTCCGTTGTTGTTGCGAGACGAGACAACTTCCTGGAATCTCCCTTAGTCAGCGGTAGTCATGCATTAGCATAGGAACTCCGACATCTATTGTTAAGTCGCCTTTTGTGCGTAAGAGAATATTCGGCCGTTACCATTCACTTTAATAGGAGATATAAGCTTTTTATATGATTCTTTGCTTTTATGAAAATTTGACAATCTGTAGCAGAGATGCTAACAACGGTCAAATTAATTATAGCAGAGATGCTAACAAACGGTCATAACACGTTATGAAAATTGGACAATCGAATGAGCGAGCGGCCTATCAATTTTCTCCCATGGTTCTAATATCAATTACATTGCTTAAATACAAACGACACGTTATAACTCGTCTCGACCATTTTACTTTTCTTAGAAAAAGAAGAAGAGTAATTTCACCAAGCAGCCGGTTGACTCGGGTTACTTGCAAATGATAAATATAAAAAAGTCAAACATCAAATAAGGGGGCGGAGCATCGGTGACCGGATAAGGTTACAATCTTTGAGTTAGGTAACGAGAGGGACTTATGTATATTGTACGGAACATATTGGATTGGACTGACCTTTCTGCTAATGAATAGTTACTAATTCTTTAATTAAGCAAAGCCCGTTGACTTATGCAATGACTTGGGGAGTGCATTTAGGGTTGACCGGCTTCTCCACCCCAAGATCTGCGCCAATGCAGCAATGCACTACGAAAGTGGGAGTCCTACTCCCACTCCCAAATTCCCAGTGACAACCCACTTTCACTCCCATTTAACTTTTCATGATCGTTTTAATGCTCATACCACCCCTGAAAAAAACACCATTAAAGTAGTGATGCGTACGTGTGTTAGGAGAAAATTGTCCAAAAAGTCGTAAACCTAGTGTACGGCGGCCTATTCAGTTATAAAACTTTTTGATTTGGCCAATTCAGTTATGAACTTTTTGACGATTTTCCAATGTAATCTTTTCGGCCAATTCGGTTAGCGTCGATCGTCCTACGTAACCTGATCAGTGAACGATCAGTGCCGGCGTGGATGATTTTTGTAATTTTTTCATATAAGTTTTCCGAATCTTTTCTTTTTCTTTCCTTTTCTTTCCTTTTTATTTTATTTTTATTTTTTTCCTCTGCCTGTCGTTGAGCTTTTCCTTGCCTGTGGTTCGCAACCTCCACTGGCCATGGCTAAAGCCCCGCCAATCGGCAAAGGGAAATAGGAAGAAAAAGGAAAAAGGAACGAAAAGTAAAGGAAAAATAGAAATTTTATTTTATTTTTTCCAAAAATCATTCACGTCAGCACCGTCGTACCATGTAATACGGATGGCGACCGCATCATCAATTTCCGGCCAAAATTGATCGGAAAACATCTTATTAAAAAATTTGTTAAAATGTTTAGAACTAAATTGGTCAAATATGAAAGGTTATGACTAAATTGGCCGCCGTATAATAGGTTCATGAATCTGCGAACAATCGTCCCAATGCGAAAGAGTGAGCCAATAAGTTACATTATCCGATCATCCGACACGCCACGTATAAAGTAGCCATTGCTCGATTAGTTTTCTTTAAACCATCAAACAGGTCTAATAAAGGTCCAAAATAAGATATTTCAAATAATCAAACAGACGACTTGGCGTCTAAATCGGTCAAAGTCTTAGGAGTACCACATGCGTCCAGGCTACCGAGACAACTACGACGACGGAAAAGAGGTTGTAATAATTTAAAACCCAAGACGGGGTCACGAGTCCAAAAGGACTACAATTTTTACTGTTTGATGCCGACGGGTAACCATACCCATGCGCATAAAATTTTCGAAAAAATGATATAAATAGTTCATGAACTCTAGCTCAATGTGTAATGTGATTCTCGAATTTTTAATTTGTTTAATATGATTAATGAACTTTAGCTCAATATGCAATAATTCGTTCAACGCCATCTCTGAATTTTTGGTACATGTTCAATTTACTTCCTGAACTATATGAAAATGTTCATTGTGTCACAATGAACATTTTCATATAGTTCAGGGACTACATTGAACATGTATTCAATGTCCACGGACCGTATTGAACAAATTAAAAATTCAGGGATCACATTGAACATTATGCTAAAGTTTATGGACTGCACTGAACAAATTAAAAATTCGGGGATTACATTAAATGGCTGTTTGTGTCATTATCCCTTAAATTTCATGTTCCAATTGATATTTTCTTTAAGTTACTGTTCTTGTGGTCCATTCAGGCAGGAGAGATGGGCAAGCCCCAAGAAAATCAAATAGTGAATAGAATTAAATTATATAAAATTGGACAAAAATATAGTGCAAAAAAAAAAAAATTGGATGAAATTGAGCATGTGGGGAGCAGCATGATGTGCGAGTTCCTGGGGGAAGGCGACAAGCGGGGAATTAATAAAAGGAACCCGTGCATGTCGGAGGAAGATGGGAGGGAGTGGGTGGGGGGACCGCAGTCGTGTTAGCATCATTTATTCCCATGCCGGGAGGCCTCGTGCATTGGTCTTGCATTGGTCTGCTGAAATTCACTACCCTTAAATAAATGCAGTGGCATTGCGATTTGACAGATTCGATGGAATGTTTTGACTTCCTCTGGGTGGTGTAGTTTTTGGGATCGCCAATGGGATCTGATCTAATCCTTGAGATTTTTCCGGTGGCCTATGTAGATTTTGGCTGTCCATGGGAATCACATGGCTTCAATTCGATTGGGAGGGGTTTGATGGATTGGGTCATCCTGTTTGAGCATTGACAGACAATGGCAATCGGTCTAATTTGTGCTTTGATCTCGTCCATGGTGTATTGTTCCGCAGAAAAATTTTCAAATAAGACTTTAAAGTTGGACCGATTTCTCGAAAAAAAAAAATAATTTTGGAGTGGGTATTATTAGGGGCGTGCAACCGGACCGGGTTTACCCGGAAACCGGACCGGTCCACCCGAAAAACAGGTTCGGGAACCGGTTCCCGTTTGAACTGGTCCGGGAACCGGTTCCATTTTTTGGGAACCAGTTAGAACCGATCCGGTTTCCGATTCCAAGTGAAACCCCATCCGAACCGATTTTAGAACCGGTTTTATATGGAGGTCCACTTGCAATTTTATATGGTCAGAATTCAAAACATTATATCAGGAAGATGATGGAGGTGATCATTATTTATGGATAGTCTAACTCAAGGGTTTGTAAGCATTATAGGGAGCAATTTCCTTTTTCTTAAACTTTTTGTTCTGTAACGAAGAAATTACATATCCAATTGAAACCTATGCTGTTTTATCACGTCCATTAAATTATTGAGACTAAGATAATATGCTTTTGTATGAATACTTAAGATTGTTTGTACAATCAAACTTATAACCTTTGATTTGAGTTATAAGTTTTCTTATTCACTACCTCGAAAAAATGAAACTAAAAAAAGGAAAAAAAAAAAAGGTTCTCGGGTAGACCCTGGAATCGGACCAAATAAATAGGGTAGGTTTCAAAACAGGATCCAGGGTAAACATGATAGGTTTCAGGTTCCAAAAATTAGGAATCGGTTATAACATGGTCGGTTTCAGGTTTCACGTCTGGAACCGACCCATCCTGGAACCGATTACCCGTAGGTATTATCTTAGATAAGGCTTTAATGTGGGCAATTCGATCTCAAAACACACTTCCAACTTCCTGGCCGGCCGGCGAGCGCCTGCATCTCATGTGCCCCTTTCCAAGCCATGGTTAGGGCCATTTTTATTCGGAGCATTTTTTTTTTCCTTTTTCCCTCTTTCTTCTATCAAAGTTCGCTAGACTTGCACGGTCATAGATTTGTGGTTGCGTGAGGACGGCTACCTTATGGCTGTGATGTCGGGGCTTAGCTTAGTCGATTCGTTCGATATCTAGCTGTGAGATGTTGAAGCTATCAAGCGGCCAGAGCTAGAGAGGGCAGTGAGTGAGAGACGTAGAGAGGCGCGAGTGAGAAGAGAGGGAGTGGCCATAGGCGTAAGCTCAAAGCTCGAGCGACCATGAAGCTCAGAGATCAGGTAGCCATGGTTGTAAGTTCGAAAAGAGAAAATGGCCATGGCAGCGAGCTCGAAGCTAGAGTGGCCATGGTCACCGGCTCGAAATTCTGGTGACCATTGTTTAGAGCTCAAAGCTCAAGTAGCCATAGCCGTGGCTAAAAGCTCGAAGAAATGATGGCCATGACCGTGAGTCTAAAGAGAGAGAACGATCATCAACACCGTTGAGCTAGCGTAGGATGGAGGAGCAGTTGTAGGTCATGCCAGTACAGAAATTTATTGGCGACTTCATGATGTCGAGCGAGATCGGGCATTAGAAGTCGATCG